TAATAGGTCCCCGAGCACCCCTTGGGAATAATGTCATCATTTTGGCTGAGGCTTTCAGATCTGTTGTGCTAAGAAGTCAGATGTGGCCAGGGTAGATCCTTATGTACTGGTACCACCAATCCACATGGAGCAGTTGTGAGTTGGCGAACATGACACATTACGTATATTTATGTAGATATTACAAGAATTAAAAAGGTAGGATACACATTAAATATATAGAGTTCAACATCTATGAACTGCAACAAAAAGTGTGAGGCCAACCTTGGCACAGCGCGATGTAGGACATGGGTGGGGAGACTGACTGTTGGGTTCCAACTGTCAGTGGACGAGGGCGTGGCCCTGTGTTGGCAGCGAGTGAGAGGAGTGGATAGGCGTCGGGAGCTGGCTTCTCCGCCACTCGGTGCCAACTTGCCGTTGGGCTGCTGCGCTATGGCTTGCCTATAGGGCCCAGAAGTAAGGTGCGACGAGTTGGTGGCCCAAGACTGCTGCTACATGCTCGGCCAACAAAAGGAGGGAGAAAGTTGGCCTTCTCAGCCGGTTCCCAGGCATTATCTAAAAAAGAAAGCCGGTTCCCAGGTAGTATCTAAAAAAACGGTTTCCGAAGCATCAGGAGAGAAAACGTGCGGCAGGGTTGGCCTAGAAAAGAACCGATGGAGGGAGAGATAAAAGAATATTCTTTCCTTATATTTCAAAGCCTTCAAGCAACTAAAAAACAAACAGTTTAATTTCAAACCCAAAACAAACATTACAAAAATAAATATGTAGCAGCATGAATGGTACACCATGTTCCTATGACCTGTATTTGATTTTGCTTTTTTAGTTTGTCATTATTGCAGGTTCAAGTGCACAGTTAAATCAAATTTAACATATTCCTGAAAATGCAAAATTTAGGTTGTTCCAGAGTTGGGTACAACAAGGTAGAAGAAAGGGTGTTATAGAGCTGGGTACTTCGATTTTCAATGAATAAGGGAGTATATGGTACTAATATGCAAATAACCATATGAAGCATTGCCATTAACATCCATGCTACAAGCAGTAGTAAGTGGAAGGTTTCCAGATCAAATATCAATACATTTTCGAGTCATGGAAATAATAACCCATACTATAACTAACATGGTACCACTCGCATATATTAAAAGATAGTTCAATTGGATTTATTTAATTACTTACAAGAACTCGCATGGATAGCCAACGTTGGTGTTAGCTATGTAAAAACTTATCCACAATAGCAATTGTAAGAGAACTCACATCGCGTTCCCATGATATGTCCTACGTACTATGGTCTCCTCCACTTAGATGGCAGCGTATGGCTTCTATAGAGTCCACCACACACACAGGCCAGCCCAAACACCAGCGATATGGCGAATCTTTGTAGTCTATGATTTTGCAAGGGCTTTTGTATTTGCTTTCATCTCATCTATGGAATCAGAAAGACTCATGCCTCCACCAAAATATTTGCTTAGTTCTCGCACACCAATTGCCTTAGCCAGCCCAGTGTGGTTACCAATCTTATGAGCCAGCGTAGTATCAAAATACTCTTTTAGTTCCTCAACTAAGCCAGAAGCAACCATATCATCAATATGGCGACACAGATACTCATTAAGAACCAGCTCATGAGTATGGACCCAAAGTAGACAACTTTTGAACCTTAAATTTGGCTTATACTTTGCTATCGAAAAAGGATTGGCAAGGGAGGGATCAAGGTGGTTAGCAAGAAATCCATGCATAAGTGAGTTTGACCCACCTACCAGGACTGGAACTCGACCACGCCTTGCAATAGACTCCGCAGTAGTTGTTGCAATAGATCAAAAGGAAGGTACAGACACATCATCTGCAATTGATGAAATAACCCCAATTAAGTGATGAGGAATACCACCTTGATCATTCGGCTGATCTTGTTAGTTGCGATGTCAAGACCAGCATACATTTGCATCTTGTCCGCATTTATCACTTCACCACCAATCACCTTGGATGTGTCAATTGATAACTTCGTCTTGCCTGTGCCAGTGGCACCCATGATTACCACCGGTTTAATCGACAACATCTACGACATGTAGTTTGATCCTGCAGAGGTGAGGGGGGATGGGGTGGAGTGGTAGAGGGGAAAGTGCTTCTTGCTCTTTAAACCCTAGGTCGACCAGCCCATGTATATGAAGAGTCGATGGTGTAGTCGGGCAAGAAGAGGGGATGGGGGGTAAGTGTTGTGAGTGTTGGTAACCTAGGTCTGGCAAACTAAACAATGTACACTAGCAGGCATTCCTATAACTACTTATGTACTACCATGGATACACTTCGCAGAAAAAACTTAATTATGCACATGTATGTAGTAACGTAATGCAAAGATGTATGAGTACAATATAATATGTATCATATGTATGTGGACAAATCCACAGGTCCACATGTGTGGTGAATGGAAGGAGCTTCCTCTAGACAATCAAAGAAGAGGCAACCCGGCAAAGGAGAAGCTGAAGTGTCAGGTGCCTGCACATATTTCTTTACTTTTCCATCCTCTCATGTATTTGTGCAAAAGTCATGTTCTACCTATAATCAGTTCGAGGATGTCATGACCATCTCCTTTCCATTTTTTTCATACTCTTGCTTGCTAGATCTCTTGTTATCATCTCTAATTGTAGGTTACTTTGCCCCATTCTGATGATTTCATTCTTTGGACATTTAAGGGACATGCTCCATTGTAGGTAACATTGTGCCTAGTTTTGTTGTCTTTGTGTGCTCATGTTATGCCTACCACTATTTTGGCACACTCCCACACAACCTGCACAAAGGCACGCGCATGCCCATGAATAATGGAGAATGACCCTTAACCAGGCAACAACTACTGCCATAGTGTTACCTCACCATCGTTCATGTCGTGTGTGCCTACCATTGTTTAGGCATGCATCCACATGAACTACGCAAAGGCACCCGCGTGCCCGGAAATAATGGAGAATGCCCTTGAAGTGCCCAATAACTACTGCCACAATGTCACCTCACCACCGCCCTTGGCACTACACGACATCACCCGTGTCGACGCCACAGTCGCTCGCATTAAATGTGGTTCTTGCGCTACTGGATACAACTCCATCCTTTTAGCTATAAAATTTGGTACCTCAGAGGTCTTCCATATCTCAAGAGGTAACACATCCTAGCTCAACTTTCTTCCCATCGAGTATCATCCCTCTCTCCCCATTTCTCTGCTCTCCTATAGGAATCCAGCGGCTACGGCGGCCTTCCTCTTCGCCGGTGTCCTTAGCAAGGTGAGAAAACCATGACCATCTTTATGAAATCTTACCCTCTCCTATATATTACAAAAATGACTTACCCTCCTTTTTCTTGCAGATGGCAGATGATGAGTGGACCACTAGCTACTTCTTGAACAAAGATGGTTTTCCCAAGCTCCTATATGCCACCATGTCCAGGATAGGTCTTTTGGATCACCCAGAGTATGTAGGTAGAGAATATGAGGAGTATGGCATAGAGCGGTGCGAGGTCATCATCTATGTTGGAGGAAGTAAAGATTTCCCCAACATAGGGCCGTGGGTGGTTTCTACTACAGGGTTTCGGTTCGAGGACACTTACCAATCTGTCGCTTGCAAAGCTTTGAGGTACCTATGCCAGATTTATGAGAGGCCAATATGTCATACACCCATGAGATTCTTCCCCCCTTTAACAAGAGACAGTCCTATGTGGGTAGCCCGAATGAGGACCCTCGAAGGCCCTGAATTACGTGAAAGTGACCCAACTACGGTGTTCATGTCTACCTACCTGCTTTCCCTAGATAAGCAATATGATAGGCATGCCACCCATTTGAAGAAGTGCATTCGTAGGGCAGAGGAGGCCGAGAACCAAATAAGAAACCTGCAAGTGTAGCTTGCGGAGGCTAAGGCGCAGGCAGCTAGAGCGGAGAGCCATGAGGCTACAACAATTGAAGCCTTCAAACAGGCCGAAGACCGCCACACTCAGCAATTGAAGAATATCTACCTTGTCACTAGGGCCAAGAGAAGGACCCTCATTCTAGAAGGGAGAGAATGCCTAATACTAGATGGAATCCCAGTTGCAACCATGCAAGAAATCCAAGGGAAGATTGTGGACACGCCGCCCGCGCCTCCACCAACTGGGGCCTCCCATGGAATTTCCGAGACAGGGTCAGTCGATGGAGAAAAGATTCTCCCGCTGACTTAGGCACCACCAGGAGATGGCGTCTGCCCTCCTTCGATCCTCCCAGAAGATTTCTCAAGCTACGAAGAATGATCTAAGTGGAGACATGGGCCCCTGAAGAACCCTCATTGTAGTGTTTATTATTTCCACCTATAATGTAATCCCACATGGTGTTGTGCTTTGAGTTTAGTGACGTTGGTTGTTTGAATGCCACTTGAGCAAACATTTCTCTACGCCAATATGCCATTTCTCTACACCAATATGCCAGTGATTTTATTTAGTGACCTAGAATAGGTATTGTGTAATGGATGCCAAACTCTATCGCCCTTACATAACACCATACTGCAAAATACATATTAGCTTCTATTGAGATATTTTTAGTACAACATACATATGATCCCTAAGATTTGATATATACCAAGAAGATCATCTTCCACAACATGGTAGTGGAAAAAATTAATTAGCTATATCTTCCGTTGAGATACTTTCGAGTAACACGGATACATGATCCCCAAGATTTGATATATCAAGCAGATCATCCGTAGCGAAGCGTGGGCATAGTGGCTAGTATGGATTATAGCAGGAGCTGATAAATCGCACGTGGTGGATGCAGAGGCAGAAATCTATAAATATGGGTGATGAATAATTGGCAACATTTATCTCTGGATAGAAATTATAGATCACATGTCTACATATTGTGTTATAAAATGAAAGAAAGAGGTCAATGATAACAAATTTTAATAGCCCTCCGTTTAAAAGAGGCTCTCACTATTAGGACAGCCTGATGTGCCTGCTTGATCGCTAGATTTTTCTTTTAACTTGTTTTCCTTTTCTTGGGCATGCAGGACGTGTACAATTTCATGCTTGACTCCGGCATGGACCCGGTGGCACTCGACATACCTGTGGGTTCATCACCGATGAGCAGCTTGCAGGTCATGAAGTACTCGACGTCCCATCGCGGCCAGGACTCCCAACCTGACTCCAACACCATTGACGGCATCATGAATGGGGTCATCAAGCAAAAGCTCAAGATAATCCCCAAAAACTTCACGTCAGTCGTCTGTGCTCATCTATATCGCATCACAATCGGTCGGTTTCCTACCTGTGTTGTGACGCTGCAATTCCAAATGTATATATAGGTGGGGGCAGCAATCCGACTCGGTCTACCACGCGCTGGTCAACGATTTCATGAAACCAAGAATCGATGAAGTAATCTAAGCAAAAGCGTCCTCACTTTCTAAAATTGCAACAGGGTTAGTGGTGCTCGCTTGATAACCTCTACGTTGACTGATTCAGATTGATGAGCTGCTGTCTTATGGTGTTAATGTGACGGTGTACAATGGCCAGGTCAGTAGCACTCTACAATTTTTACCATCGCCGGCAGTTCAAAACTACTCGGAGCTCGTCATCTGCGTTCTGTTAGTGCTACTAGTATTACATTGCCATTCAATCTAAAAGACTAAAACCGTCCACTTTTTGCATAAAAACATCCAATCATGACATTAGAAAATAAACCAGGATAAGGTCAATGGAGAAATGTGCAATAGTGACTTAGTGAATGATTGACAATCAAGTCACTGAAAACAACCTCAAGTCCTCAACTCATGGTGCTGTTGATCAAATGTAGCATTCAGGTTTAACAAAGCCACTAGGAGCTGGAGGCATCCTGCCATCCTGGATAAGCAACCGAGTAGAGTACAAGAATAAATAGCTTTATCACTCGGTGGGGGAGGCGGAGACCAGATCAGGATAACGTAACGCCAACACACATGTTCTTGGTTCAGAAAAGACTGGCATCAATCCTTTCTGGACCATGCCAAGAAAATGCGAGCCTTCATTGTGAAGTTTATTTAATCAGACATGGTACATAGGGACAATCTCTCCCGGGCCCATGCCAAGAAAATTCCAAGAAAAGAGCGTTCCATGCATGGATTTGGGGATGGATGGATAGGGATAGCCCATCAGAACCCCCTTTGCCAGAGAGCTGTGAAGGACACGAAATCTTGTGGCGGCAATAGGCATTTTCCCAACAACCGCTAGCTCACATGGACAAATAATCGAGGCATTTAGATGCTCCATGTATATACAGTATTCGAAGTTGAAATGATTAGCATTTACTAAAACTGCATTTTTTTCAGTGCTGAACTTGATATAACTTTTCCTGTATCTGAAGCTCGACGTAATCTGCTCGACCAACGGTGCAGAAGCATGGGTTCAGAAGCTCAAGTAAGTGTTTGTGTTTTATTCCCTCCCATTCTCTGGCAGGTTTTCAACGATATATCTGAATTACTCATTTCAGATGGGATGGTCTGAAGAGCTTTCTTAGCCTACCAAGGCAGCCTCTGTATTGTGGCGCCAGCAAAGGCACCAAGGCCTTCGTCAGGTCCTACAAGAACCTGCATTTCTACTGGATTCTTGGAGCTGGGCATTATGTAAGTCCGAAGTCTGAAGTCTGAACCCCATTTGTGCCATCTTATTTGTTTTCTTAAACTTGGATAAACCCAAATCTTATCTGTTTTCTCGTGGGATCTTCTCTCTGATTGCAGGTGCCTGCAGACCAGCCCTGTATCGCGCTAAGCATGATTAGCAGCATAACCCAGTCGCCAGCAAGCTAGTTGATTCTGTGTGATATATGCCAAGAACAAAGGAGGGCTTCAAGCAGCTATAGCACAAGGTCCCGGAGGACCATTCAGCGTTCTTGAAGTGCGGTATAGGTTGGATACCTGAAAGGCAATGCAGTTGACGATGGCATTTTTTATATAGGAAAAAATCCGTTAAAAACAGAGCACTGATTTGATATGAAAGCGGTTGTATCATCTACATATTACAAAATATTGTAGAGGCTGGAACTTATTTTTTTAATAATGGAAAGATAGCTGGATTCATATAGAGGAATCATACCACATTATTGTATAAATCACACCATAACGTCTGGAATGAGTTTACATAGCAAAATCTGATTTTGGGCCCAAGATCGAAGCCAACAAATTCCCCTGAAAATGACCTGCAAAAGAATTTTTGGTCAAACATTTGTCAATCCAACTTTGTTTCTTATTGGCCAGATAAATCAACATACCACAGACGCTCATGTCAATAAAAAGGATCTCAAATGTTTACCTCTTGTAGGGTACCAATCATTCAAATAGTTTTGGATATAAGTGGTGGACTGAGACCTAACACCATATAAACCGCTCTCCACTGTAACTTAGCATAAGTGTACTCAAAGAAATGGTGTTGGATTGTCTCGGGCTTACTACAAAAGCAACAAGTCGTGTCACCATTCTAATTTCTCTATGATAAATTATCTTTTGTGAGAATGGCCCCTTTTTTAAAGAACCACATGAAGGTTGTATCTTTAGACGTCAAACTATTTATGAAACTTTAACCCCATTATATATTGAGAAGGAATTTATACATGGAATTAATAGAGAAGATACCATTCTTATGCAGGTGCCAAACAAACACGCCAGGTTCTTGTTGCAGATTTACATGGAATTAATAGTTTTGGAGTAGAATCGCGAACTGAGCATAGCTAGCTCAGTGGGCCGAGTTTCTTTTGTTGGAATATATCTACTCCGATTTAAGATTCTCGACTTTGACACGAGTGCTTGCATTTGTCTTTGCCACACACCCTAAAATGTCAAAAATGCATTGTGTAAATAAATCCTTGTATGGGCGAAGGGAGTGACAATGCAAGCCGAAGGCTATAATCTGTAACAGAGAGGGGGAGATATAGGACCCTCCAAAAGAGCCTTCCCATAGCCACTTTGCTGATTGCAGCATCATTTTCAGATAGGAAATTGATCGATCCGATGATGTTTTGGATTGCATGTCACGGAGGCATATATACAAAACATTGTTTCTGCCCTCGGCGTCGTGCCCCTGGGATCGGGACAACCTGACAAGTTTACAACACGCAGGGTAGCCTGCCAAGACTATATATATAGGCAACTAGAGCCACGGCTACACCGGGCGACGCACGCGCGCTCACTTTCAGCAGACCACGCCTCTTGGTAGACATGGACAGGCGTGTTCTGCAGCTTCCCCTGCTCCTCTGCCTGTGCGTCGTCGCCACGCTCCGTGCCTGCTCCGCCGCGTCGATCACCACGGGCACCCCCGACGGCTCGGAGCTGTGGGGTACGTCGATCACCACGGGCACCCCCGACGGCATCATGAACGGGGTCATCAAGGAGAAGCTCAAGATCATCCCCAAGGACCTCAAGTGAGCGTCGCTTTCGCACCACGACGGTCACGTAGGTCACTGGAGTATGTATGTTTTAGTAGCTGTCAGTGTTACCATGCTACGACTGCAATTGTATGCAGGTCGGTGGAGGTCTCCAATGCCGTCTACTATGCGCTGGTCAAGGATTTCATGAAGCCAAGAATCGATGAGGCGAGCTCGCTCCCACGGCTCTTCTCTATATGAATTCAGTTGAAAGGGATAGTGGAGTTTGGTTAACTCTGTTCCCTTTCTTTTTTTGTTCATTTTGCAGATTGATGAGCTGCTGTCCTATGGTGTGAATGTCACGGTGTACAATGGGCAGGTCAGTAGTGCTCTGCCATTTTTACTATCTCCAGCAAATCAAAACTACTATTTTTTTTTTGTGTGTGTGTCTGGTCATGCATGATGTTGACTTTCTTCCGTTAGTGCTGTTACACTGCTATGCTGGCAGAATAGTGGACCAGCATGTTGAGATCAATGGATAGGTTGAAATGTTAGTGCCTTAGTGCTTGACTGATCATCCAGACACTGAAAAGGAACTGATACTGTTTCTGTTTCTTCCACGCAACTCGTAGTCGTTGTAGCACACAGAGTTCCAGCTAGTATAGTGTTTTCCATTACTTGGAGCATTCAGGTTCACCAATTCATCCTGCAATTGATACATCCTGTGTAAGCAACCGAGTAAAGTATATTTTAAGAATAAGGGCCTTACAATTCGTCAGTGGGAGAGCAGGATAGCGTGACGCCGCCAAGTTCGTGTTCAGTTCAGACTTCAGAAAAGATGGCATCGTTTCTGGATGCATACCAAGAAAATGTGAGCCTTTTATTGTCAATCGTCATGGGAAGTTAGGAACGGACAGCCACTCCCTGGCCCATGCCAGGAAAAACACACAAGAACAGAGTGTGAGTGTTCCATCTTCCATGCACGGATCTGTCTTTTTCCCAGGAGCTGTGAGTGACACGAAACCTTCAGGCGCCACAAGGCATTTTTCTCAACCACCACCATATCACATGGTGGCTCATGTCTCACATGGTCAACTAATTGGGAGACAGACGCTCCTCCCTTAACCAAACACTTGGATAATCCATTCATATCGTACAATATTCCCAGCTGAAAATATGCTTATGAGTAAACAAGTCTGCAGTTTTCAGTACTGATGAATGTGATACATGTTTTCGCCTTCCTGAAGCTCGACGTAATCTGCTCTACTGACGGGCGCAGAAGCATGGGTTCAGAAGCTCAAGTAAGCCTTCCTGTTTTTCTATCTCTTGCCCCCACATTATAACAGGGTTCAGAAAACATATATATCTAAATGACTGAACTGAATGTTTACTGGCTCCTGGGGGATGAACTGATACTGATTTCAGATGGGATGGGCTGAAGACCTTCCTGAGCCTGCCGAGGCAGTCTCTGTACTGCGGCACCAGCAAAGGAACCAAGGCTTTCGTGAGGTCCTACAAGAACCTGCGCTTCTACTGGGTTCTTGGAGCTGGCCACTTTGTAAGTCCTGCGGCATCTCACATTCACCTAGGATCTGCTTCCCATCCCATGTGAGGGTCTTAAATCGGGATGCCCCCGAATGAAGCTGACTTAGCTTGTTTCCTCATGTAATCTCTTCTTTGGCTGCAGGTGCCTGCCGACCAGCCTTGTATCGCGCTGAGCATGATCTGCAGCATCACCCAGTCTCCGGCCAGTTAGTGGATTTTATGTGATACGCAAAGATCAAATGAAGAAACGTCAACTGGAAGCAGCTAGCACACGGGCACGGGCGATGCAGGACTCGAGTACAGTGAAGGTCGCATACTTGAAAGGCAATCATTCAGTTGAT